CTTATCGCAAAAAGGACTTTGTTTTTCAGACTAAATTAGTGAACCATTTTCTTTTTGTTGACATAGTAATATTCTAAATTACCATAATGCACAGAAAATGAGGAATCGAACTCGGATTTAATTAGTCTTTGCAAAATAATGTCGTTAGTGTGGCCTAAAATATGATCCCTTCAGTATTATTTTAGGTATAAGTTACAGTATAACATTGAACAAAATAATATATAATATTAGACCTGGACAAAATTACCTTGACAAGTACATTTTCGAGTGATGAACCAATAAACTAGGTTTTCGGACATTGGCAGCTGTCCCACCTGAGTATCATCTTTTTTGGTTAATCTGAACTGAGAGCCGAGTTCATGCCCATTTGGATAACTCGTGAAGCCTCTTATCACACTGATGGTGAAAATTTTCTCAGCCTTCACCCCCAGCATATTTGATATGGCAGAGTTCACTCCGTCGCATCCAATCACAACCTGCCACCAGATATTGGAGGACATAATTTTTCTTGCATTGTTGCAAAGCATGGTTAGTAAAATATGGGATAGGTGTATTATTTGGAATTTTGGAGAAAAAAAAAATACGTTGAAAAATTCGGCCATTATTTAGTATTTTAATATAATTTATTAATTTTTTTTAATGTATATAATCTTTTAATCAATAATGTGTGAAAAATACGTGAATTTTACCGGTATTATTCACAGATTTATAAAAAAGAAGGTGAAGAATAAGTACGTAGTATAGTATGTGTATTGTACCTTGGCGTTCAAAAGTCTTCCACCTTGAAGTTGAAGAACAGGAGAAGAAGTTATGGGATCCAGCTTAATAGAAAGCACTTCGCACCCAAAATGAAGAGTGTTACGTGGCAAACTATTTGCCAAAATATCAATGAGATCAGTCCTTTTCAAACATCTCAATTCTTCTTTCCTGTAAATGATTGCGTTCATAATTGATGTAACCATTTTTTTGGGGAAAATCATTGTCATGCTCAATTTATTTATGTTCAAATTGGATGACAATTTCATCATATATAAGGTCACCAATACTTATTTAACAACACTTTAAGTTCTCTTGCATGAAATTTGAATTCATAATCTACTTTGACACAACGAAAAATAAATGCCATTAAACCAAATGATTATCAATTTTGGGAAGAGTAGTTAGTTTCTGTTAAATGGTGGATGGAGTCCTTTGTAGACATCTGATGGAATCTTTCGGGCTCTAAAGGTATCTTTCCCACAATAGGAGGCTCTATATACATGCGACTCTATCTATATTTGGGAATCTAAATTTTTCTATGTTGTAATTTGGTCGAAATACTTTCTTGTTTTGTAGACTTATTATGTGTTAGTTTTCTTATGAACATTTCAACAATTGGACGAGATTCCGAAAACAACATTTTATTTTATAAACTCTAAAAGTAAAAACAAGTGGCACACTACTTTACTAAAAAAAAAAACATTTTATCCCATCTATATGTTAGATAACAATAGTGATAATTGGAGATATGTCTAATTCATTATGGTCTTCCATTCATATCTCATCTACATTCGTCAGATAATAATGGTGGTAGTTGAAGATGAGTCTGCTTGATTATGTTCTAACATCCCTATTTCATCTGATCAGGTTTATCATCATACAACAATCAGATCAAATCGTTTCATCTCAATTTCATCCATAGATTTCTTATCTCTTATACCACCATTTCCCTTATAAATATTAAGGCCTCAAAATACCAACCATATTATTTTCAGAACACACTACCCCCATTCCTCTATTCTAAAAATTCATTTCTCAAACCCCAAGACAACAATGTCTGGAGATGGGTATGATGGGCTTTTTGCTTGGGTTGCTACATCTTGCAGCCTGATGGTGGTTCACCTTGATATACAGCCCTCATCGGCTTGCAGAAGTTATGCCAAACTTAACCAATCATGCATATGTGAGAAAATCGTCTTCTCCTTTCTAACTTTGCCTCCAAAAAAAGAAAAATGTAAACAAAATCTTAAGAACTTACCCAACAGGTATTTCTTTAAGCTCGTCATTATTGAGTGAGTGGAATTTTCCCCTGCAAATAAAAAATTGAACATTAAATCATATAGAATAGTTTATCTGTTATAAAAGTATAAGTATGACATTAAATTATTAACGTTGTGGACTGTACACAAAAATGAGAAAGGCCAACTGTAAAAATATAAAAAAATATATAAAAAATTAAAAATTAAAAATTAAAACTACATTTTAGGGGGGGGAGAGAGAGAGAGAGAGAGAGTTACGAGAGTATAGGAATAGCAGTTTCTCTAAGGTGAGAGGCAACACCAAGTTGATCAAGTGCACGCCAGCCGTTTGGATGCACGATGATAGCTGCCCCTGTAGCTCGCAATGCGTTTGATCTTTCCAGGACCACGCTTCTAATGCCCTTTCTGCCAAACAAATTAATTTTCAAATTAACACCGTTAATTATAAACATCGAAATCATCTAATCCTTCGCTATATAAAATAAAATAACATCTTAATCTAGTTTCTCCGCCTCCCTCATCACTCATGCTAGTTGCAAGGACTTCAAACTCAATCATCATTTGCAAACAACGTAACTTCCGTCTAAATTTGTATCATCTCAACTGAGCATCTTCCGTACAATTTCTCTAATAAAGCAAAATTCATTTGTAATAAAATATACATCAAAACGATCTAGTATATATACGAATAATATTCTTTTGAGAATTGAATTTTTTTTTATTTTTATCGTAATTAGTTTTTGAGAATTGAAAACGATCTAGTATATAAACCCTTATCATTAACCCAGAAATTAGTTTTGATGATGAAACCAACGAAGTGTTAGATAAAGAAGAAGAAGAATAAGGTGGTGTAAGAGTAAACCTGTGAAGAGCAAGGGCAGTGGCAAGGCCGCATATCCCACCACCCACGATTACAATATTCTCTTTTGTATCACCAATCTCCATATCTTGCCTTCTTTTTTCTATTTTCTGTTTTGTTTTTTATTTAATCCTTTGGCTTAGAAAAGTAGTTGAGTGTTCATAAGATGCTACCTCAGGCTCCTGGCTAGGCTGCGGTTTAGAGGGCTTTGCTCAATTTCATTTAATAATTCGCAGCAGAAAAACCAAGGACTGGCCAGCATTCTTTGTACGTGGTTCAAACAGTTCGGCTAAGTTTATGAGCCACAAAAGTTGTATGTCTGAGTTTTGCATACAATCTTTCTTTAATTATCTTGGGATGTGATAAAGTGTATTCACGGCACACCCTTTTGTTGAAAGCCACTTGCAAAATGAGTCACGGTATGCACACCCTATTGACAGAAGAGGAATGCTAACAACCTTCTCTCTAATATTTTCCTTTGGACCTTCTCCTTTTTTTGTTTGATAGTAAGAAAGTTGTAAATTTTTTTTGGATAAATTGAATACATTTAATAAGGGTAAACTTGGAAAGCAAAAGTTAACTTGTATAATATATTAATGACATTATAGTTATAACTATAGTTAACTTTTTTATTTTTGATGATATTATTATGGGAGGGAAAAATTACAATGCTTTTAATAAAATTTAAAACTAAAAACCAATTATTAAAGAAAAAAAACAAAACTGTAAATAGCCACCACAGCAACCCACCCACCCAACCAACAGACCTAGTCAACCACCCCGGCAGCAACCCCTTCCCAATACATCATTTGATGTGTATTCAATGATTTTCTCTCTCTGTAAAAAAAGGGGATATGAAATAATAATTGTGTAGATAGAGTATATTAAAATATTACGTTGTTTTTATTAATATAAGTTATTTATTATCTTATTTCATGGTCTTACCTCCCAGTATCGGTGTTGACAATTGAAAATATTGATATATCGGTGTATCGACCGATATTTCAATCCTTGATGGTGGTTAAGGTGTTGGAGGAGTAAAATGGGAGGGGTTCAAATCCCCTTTGTGTTTTTTTTCCTCCCTTTTTTCCCTTTTTTTTTTTCTTCTTTTTCCTTTTTTTTTTCCTTGACATCGATATTTTCAATATTTTAGAGATATTACACCAATATTTTGACAAAATATTGCTGAAGTATGAGCTCAATTATCGACATTGATATTTTCCAATATTATCGTCGATATTTATACTATATGTACATGGATATGTTCCGAAATATCCGTAATTCAAAAAAACTGAAATATCCTCGATATTTCGTCAATATTATCGATATTTCATACTGTGCTCGTGATAACAGTGGGAAGTTTTGGGGGTTGGAGGACAATGATATATGGGCTTTGCAGACTTTATTTTATGGATTCCAATTGGATGATTCTCTGACTTTGATAGAACTAAAAGTAGTCAGATTTTTTTGGAGGTATGTGGGTAGTGAATTGCATATTGCCAATTGTCTAACTTCGAAAAGTGAAAAAGAAACAGCCAAAAAAGGAAACAAATATTAAATGAGTGGAAGATAGCATTTCTAGTTAATTTACCTGAATGGCCGAACTTAGATAAAAGCTTTCAATAGTTCAAAGGCCGAACAATAAGCCAAAAAAGAGAACCCCAAAGCAGTCTTCCAAGCATGAAGTAAAGGATCAATTCTTCTTCTAAGTTCTTCTTTTCATGGCTCAAAAAATAGTCACTCACATTCTTTACATTATTAATCATTATTATACTAATATTTTGTGTATCATATAATCTACAGATTTACAAATATAGTGGTTGTGATCAATACATGTTAGACCAAAAGATGGGAAGCCAAGCGAGTGGCATATAAGCTTGAGATAAGACATGTATGTCCCCTCAATTGACTTTGCATGGATTCTTCATAATAATAATTAATGCATACTCCAAAACATCTTTTCAATTGGATATTTCCAAAAGCCTTCACATATACCTAATCACTGCCCACATATCTCCAAAAAATCTTTTGGGCTTCAATTTGCTTCAAAACTTTTGAATTTTTTTTGGGTTTTGTTGGGTATCGGGAATATCGAGGATATCGGCAAAACATGGTGGTATTGTTCTTTCTGATATTCCTTCTCCAAATTCAAGGGGAGAGAGAAGCTTAAGATCTAATGGTTGTCAGCTTCCACTACTACATTTTACTATTTGCGCGACGAAGGAAAATTCGTCGCGCAAAAAACTGAAAACTTGCGCGACAAAAATCTCAATCGCGCAAAGATCATTTGCGCGACAAAAAAATGAGTTGTTGCGCAAAGTGGGGAAGAAAAGCGAGGGGTTTTTTTGGCGCTAAACCTTTGTGCGACGACAGAGGTGGTCGCGCAAAGAACCTTTGCGCTACAAATTAATTTCTTCGTCGCACAAAGTATGGAACGGAAAACAAGGTGGATTTTTTTTCGCCAAATATTTGCACGACGATTATCATCGTCGCGAAAGACAAAAGACATCATTGCACAACGATTTTACTTTCGTCGCGCAAAGAAGGAGAGAAAATGTTGCCAAATACTTGCGCGACGGACGTTTGATTCGTCGCGCAAGGTTTGATGTCGGCACTATCTTGTGCGACGGAAAGTTTCGCTTGCGCGACGAAAACGTTATTCGTCGGGCAAAATCCTTCTTCTACATATCTGCAATCTACCATTGCAGAGGCAGATTGCTCCATTTTTCTACCATTTCGATTTTTCCTCTGTCTGTGCTGCTGCCTTTGCTGAGAATTCAATACGCTCATTGGGTAAGTATTATTTGTCATTTGTTTAAAAGTATTAATGTAAATTCGTACTAACGGTATTAATTTTTTTATATTATAGATATTTGTAAATTGCGATTGTGGAGAACGATTGAGAAGGTATTTCATTCATTTTATATTAAATTCATTACATTATGTTGAACTTAGTTTGTTATATTTATATTTTTGGTTGTGAAATTATATTTATATTATGTTGTTAAATTGTGCGTGACGTAGCACAATTGTTGTGACGTACGAAGTTAATTGAAATTAACTTCGTACTTTTATTATTATTTTTTAGTAAAACTTAGTTTCCTGTTTGAGATTAGTTGGATTTCGCGCATGGATGCGTAAAGCATGCC